CTTCTGCCCTCGCCCGTCCTCGCCTCGTGGTAGAAGAGTATACCTGGCCAGAAAAGCAAGAGGCTTGGCAAGAAACCAATAAGATGTCTCTTATGCTAGGCTGTTTGCTGAGATTAGAGGCTGAAGCTCACTGTGGCGCCGCGCCGATCTTTGTTTGCCTGGGCCGTACGAGTCCTGCGCGACGACACTTCTGCAGAACGGCGTCCATGCGTCGCGGTGATACACTTTCGCAGAACGGCGTCCATGTCCCGAGCCTCTCAGAGAGCAAAAGCCGCGTGAGCATGCTTGCACAGCAAAGCCTCCCAATGCTTCAGTGCCCATAGAATATAGTCTCGATTTTTCCATGGGCGTAAGGAAGGTCGGCGCCACACAACCTGTTCAATGGCTTCCTGCGCCTGGAAACCTTCCCTGGCCCTCAAACACGCGGCCAGTGCCGCGGGGCTATATACGATGTATGCCACCGTAACAATGGAAGAGCGCGACTTGTTTCTGCCCCAGCATGGCACGCCTGGCATTCAAAGTGCGTGCGATCTCTGACCATACCCGACAGTTCCTTTGGGCCTGCTCCGCGTACAGCGTCGGATCTTGGGTGACTTTGACCGTCAAATCGTCCAGAGCGTACACACATTGTTGGGCACTGTGCAGGCATAAATATGAATCCCAAGTCTCTGGTGTCCCTTTGGCCTGCAAGTCCTTGGCACAGAGCGTCACGAGCGTGTCCACTTGGACGCCGCAGCTATGTGCCACTTCGGCCAAGTTCGCCGCGGATTTCAAACTGCCCAGGGCATACACCATATCGTTCGACTCATAGACGATGGTCGCGTCCAAGGGCCACGCGCGGAGATCTCTCAAATTGTAAGGATGGTTCCAAATGACATAATCCAGATGCCTCCATGGCCCATGGTGAAGTACGTCTGAATGAGATCCTTCATATTGTCGATCCACTTTTGCGCACAAGGTTCCACAGGCAATTGTGGCAGGGATGGCTGCGTGTGATTCATACCAGGGCAATTTCTCCGAAGCCTAGATGTTATGAATACTGGAGCCAAAAAGCTTTAACCCTGACAGAAATGGTTAGTTGTTGTTGAAATGGTCAAGAACAAGAAACTAGTGCCAAAAGAAGCTTTCATGCTATCATAGATCTAAAGCTGAGCTTTTCTCTTTGGGATCCCGCACCTCGCTGACGCGTTGTGTCCACCCCAGTACAGAACTTCTTCAGAAGCGCGTCCATGCCCTGAGAGACAATAGCATCAGATCTGGACCAACACGCAAAGCAAACTATAAGACAGAAGCAGAGTACTCCTCCTGACTATTGTGAAAGGAAACTGTCATGGTACCCAAGAGACACAGCTTAGCTGTCCCTAACAGATAATTGCCTCGAAGCTTGCCCAAATTGCAAAGCAAAGTGTAACAGAGAACCAGAGTTCTTCCCATCACTATTGCAAAAAGAAACTTGGGAAGAAGCAGCTATCTAAACATATAAAACTGAAAGTCTAAAGCTTATCTATTCTCGTTTTTGTTTTCCGGACCGTGCGGAGGTGTTGCTGCCACTCCCTAAAGACCTTCCCGGAGACACGCAGAGAAAAACATGAGGATCTAAAGTCGACAAGTGTGTATCCGCCTTCAAACACAGTCTCTCCCAAAAGTACCGGCTTTGTTGTCAGGCGCACGGAGACTCGTCGTTTTTTTTGTGTACAGAGAGGCTTCGCCGGTCGCAAAGTAACGGACACGCAGAGCATGGGTCGCTGACGCAAGCTTTCGCAGAACGACGTCCGCCTGCGTCGACGTCCCTTCAGCTTCCCCGTCTAGGTGCTTGTCGTCGCGGCTGGAAGCAGGCAAATTTCCAATGTACTCTACATTGAGGTGGCCTCGCTCCACGTCTCTCCGCCAAGCCGGGATTAACTCAGATAAAACATCACTCGGTTGGACTTCCAGACAGCCGTGGTGATCTAAATTGACCAAGGACACATCACCGGCAGTCATGGAAGTTCCTCGGACAACGTAGGCGAGAAGATGCAGGTATGTGTTACATCTCTCACCCACGTGGAAATAGATCAGAAGATACATTTCCGGATAATTGCATCCAAGCCGGACCAGCCCATCGTCCGGCCTCTCCAGATGTGGATTAGCTGTTTGCTGAACAGCTAATCCAGCCCAGAAACTATTCGGCATCGAATTGTCATGGCTCTGACGTGGAGATCGAGATCTTGATGTCGCGCTCGGGGCAGGTGTATCCACGCGCGCGTCCCAGTGCGTATCTGGCAGAATGTCTAGCAGCGCATTTACTCGAGTCAGCATCGTTTGCAAACTACCTTGGAAAGCCAGCAGCTGCCGTTGCCAAGCAACGAGTCCACCAGGCATGGAACCGAAGAAAGCACTTCCGGCAGCGGCCACGGTTCAAAACAGGTAAACCGGAAAAAGGAAAGGCCGCAGAAGTGTTCCTCTATGCTGTATTACAACGTTTGCTTTGTTTTCTGTTCCAATGATATGTCTACTTATCTTTTCCTCTCGTGTGTTTCCAGCATTGTCAAACACTTCTTCTTACACCTTGAGAGAACAAAAAGGAAAGAAACACAAATAAAGGAGCGCATGATGCAGCCAAGTGAGAAACTTTCATGCTATCATAGATCTAAAGCTGAGCTTTTCTCTTTGGGATCCCGCACCTCGCTGCCGCGCTGTGTCCGCCCCCGTAAAGACTTCCGCAGAAGCGTCGGATCTGGACCAACACGCAAAGCCAACTATAAGACAGAAGCAGAGTACTCCTCCTGACTATTGTACTACAAAGTCGCGAGTTGCCAGTTCTCAGCTTCCAGCTCCCCAGCTACTCCGCGTACTACAGTTGTACTACAAAGTCGCCAGTTCTCATCTTCCAGCTCCCCAGCTCGTCCGCGTACTAAAGTTGTACTACAAAGTCACCAGTTCTCATCTTCCAACTCGCCAGATACTCCGCGTACTAAAGTTGTACTACAAAGTCGCCAGTTCTCATCTTCCCACTCCCCAGCTACTCCGCGTACTAACGTTGTACTATATACCAAGTCGCCAGTTCTCATCTTCCAGCTCCCCGGCTACTCCGCGTACTAAAGTTGTACTACAAAGTCGCCAGTTCTCAGCTTCCAGCTCCACAGATTGCTCCGCGTACTAAAGTTGTACTAGAAAGTCGCCAGTGCTAGCTTCCAGCTCCCCAGCTACTCCGCGAACTAAAGTTGTACTACAAAGTCGCCAGTTCTCAGCTTCCAGCTCCACGGATTGCTGTACTACAAAGTCGCCAGTTCTCAGCTTCCAGCTCCCCAGCTACTCCGCGGACTACAGTTGTACTACAAAGTCGCCAGTTCTCATCTTCCAGCTCCCCAGCTGTACTACAAAGTCACCAGTTCTCATCTTCCAACTCGCCAGATGCGCCGCGTACTAAAGTTGTAGTACAAAGTCGCCTGCACTTCGCGCCCGACACGCGCGATCTCCGCAGAGGGTTGCGCGCGCACGGACTCACTCGCACTCTCGCCCGCATTTCGTGCGCTCGGCGCGCGCGATCTCCGCAGAGGGTTGCGCGGGCAGCCGGCAAATCGCACTCTCGCCTGTATTTCGCGCACTCGACACGCACGATCTCCGCAGAGGGTTGCGCGGGCACCGGACAAATCGCACTCTCGCCTGCATTTCGCACTCGACGCGCGCGATCTCCGCAGAGGGTTGCGCGGGCACCGGACAAATCGCACTCTCACCTGCATTTCGCGCACTCGACACGCACGATCTCCGCAGAGGGTTGCGCGCGGACCGCGCCAATCGCACTCTCGCCTGCGTTTCGCGCACTCGACGCGCGCGATCTCCGCAGAGGGTTGCGCGGGCATGGGTCAAATCGCACTCTCGCCTGCGTTTCGTGCACTCGACACGCACGATCTCCGCAGAGGGTTGCGCGCGGACCGCACCAATCGCACTCACGCCTGCATTTCGCGCACTCGACGCGCGCGATCTCCGCAGAGGGTTGCATTTTCGGTTGACGCTGTTCGTCCCACCCTCCGCCTTTAAGAGAGAATTTATAAAGTGGGGACATGTTTTTCATTTGGACATCTCCCGTGTTAGTTTTCCATTCCATGCTCACACTTGCATACTCATTGCATACTTGCATACTCATCATTGCACTTGCATCATTACACTTGCATACTTTGACACTTGCAGACTTTTGCACTTGGATGCTTTTGCTCTTCCACTTACACTGGGGTACGTATAGTGTTCATGTGTGTTCATGTCTTCATGTTGTAGTGCAAGTGTGGAAATGTCAGTGTGTAAGTGTAAGTGTCGAAGTGTCAGTGTTCAAGGGATTTTCCGGAAGAACCCTTCGCAATGCTTTCGAGAAAAATGTCATAAAAAATGTCAAAAGATATGCCAGACTCCCAGACAGAATGTCAGAAGATATGCCAGAAAGAATGTCAGGAGATATGCCAGAAAGAATGTCGAAATATTGTTTCAATACATGCCCAAACTTTGTCAGATTGAAATGTCATGGTGGGGATCACTAGAAGTGAAGTAATTGCAAACGTGCTAAGGTGTTGCCACGCCGGTAAGCTGAGGTGGTGTCATGTTGGTCTCTTGGGTTTATGGAACGCAGATACGCTGGTGCTGTGTCATGCTGACAAATTGTGTTGCTGTCACGCTGATGTATAGTCATACTGGCGCATAGGTCACGCTAACCAAATGCCACACCGACACGTGCAAATTCATGGTATGCTGTCGTGCCAACTTGCTGGGGGCTCCAGATCAGGTTTCGGAAGAGGTTCCCTGCTTTTTGTTGGTTGCGATGTCGTCGTGTTTGCGCATATGTGGGCACATGTGCTACACTGACGTACTGCTGCGCTAATATGCTCACGTGGCGCATGGAAAAAGGTTCACACTTTGGAAAACATCTGTGCTTAATTTTTTATAGTCAGCAAAATCATGCTCATGCGCACGTTTTTTTCTTGGGTTTTACATGTTTAATTGTTTGTGGAACTAGGCTGTGTGCTTGTAAGGCCAACCAAGTTGGCTTGTGGCTCAGATCACGCTCATTCAGCCAGATTTCACCTCGCTTCCATGTACGCGAAGATTTGAGGTGGGTGGTTGGGAGCAGAAACGGCACGGCGTTGCAGACGTTTCCGCGACAAATGGCGGCTGCCCTGGGGCTGTGTGTGCCATCAGAGGTTTGTAAATCTGGCAGTGCAGCGCGGCAAGCTGGGTCATCAGGTGCGGACGCGTATTTGAAGCCTTGCCCCTAGAGTTGCGAAAATAGTAACATCACAATAGAATTACATACAGTATACAGTCAGCGTGGACGGAGCATGTGAAAGCCTCATCCTTTAGAGTTTGTAAGACCAGACTTCGAAGCTAGTTGCAAGAGCCTTGAGTCAACCAGGTTTCTCCACCGTGAAATTGCTGCGCAGAGAGCTTTCGTGAGGCCTGAATGTGCGAAGGGTTTCATTGACGTGACAAACGGCTTCGCTCGTGTGGACGGCAGGGACATCAAGAATGCCAAAAAGAATGCCAGAAAGGCAGGTTGATACTTGGTCAGACTTGCAGTGGGGCAATCGCAGCTCTCTAACGCTATGCCCTAACCTTGAGTATGGGGGAGCCTTGCGCCACTGTAAGATGAGGTGAGAGTGCTGGGATGTTTAGGTTTTCACTGAATTGACTGAATTGCTCAACCCTGCATTGGCTTTTGGTGTCCGATTGCAGCGTGCCAGGAGTCGCAGCCCACAAAGCTTCAAGGGCGGAAAGACTTGCAGGGCGGCAGTGACCTTGGCATCATTTTCTTGCATCTTATTTGCGTACACAGGTGGATTGCAGCGGAAGATTCGGTTAAGGTGGTCAGCCTCATGCAGAATCTGCTTGGCATTGTGTTGTCTCCCCCGTAGAGGGCTCAGCAACAGGGCGCAAAACCATTAAAAGTTAAGGGGCCATCCGAACAAGCTAAGTGACGGGATTTGACCTCCATCTGTTGGAGGATGGTGAATTGGTGGCCCAGTAGAAGCATCATGGTGCCATGATTCTTTTTGTGCTTGAGGCAGCTTTTGGCTCTTGCCCTGCGTAATGAACCTAACGATCAGTGGCTGAGGTGAATCCACAAGTGCGCGTGGCTTTGGAAGCCCTTATCTCTCAACAGGCACGCGCAGTTTTTCGTGTGTTTCGCAGTGGTTTGTTTTTGCTTTTATCTTCGACTCTGCAAGGCTTGGTCTCTTCCTGGACAGCAGTTTGCTTACTTGTATTCGCGTGGCCCCCATTGTTTTTCTCCTTTCTGTATAAACTGAAGACAGTGGGGAACTGTCCGATAAGTAAAAACATATTTAATTAGTTATGTATCATTAACTATATATATATATATATTTTTTTTTTTAATGGACACCCCTCATGATCTACCTACAGCTGTTTCCAGTGGGCCTGCCAATGCAAAAACTACTTTTGTACCTATCAGAATGAGTGCCCCTCATCAGCTGACAACAAATGCATGTTCAAAAGGTGTTAAACACATGCTGGTTTCACAGTAAGGGGTTTTCAATTTAACAGTGTGCACACATGTGTGCACACATGTGTGCGTCTCTCCATGGCAACATATTGATGTCTTGTGTGCCCTTTTTTGGCTACACATATTCATTTTGGACGTTGACATTTGGCTCAGGCTGACGCAAAAGAAGTGCACGCCGCGTTGCATTGTGTGTTTGATTGCGTGGGGCTGCGGATCACTCACTCAGCAGGTTAACAGCCTCATTCATTTCCGTTCGTGCGCATCCTTGGAACTCGGTAGAGCCAGTCAAGGGGTTGGTTTTTGTTTGAACACCGTACTCGCTTGTTTGCCTTAGGTGTCCTTCGGTCCGGAGTTCTTAAAATTCAGTATAATCACCGAGTCAGCGCACCAACTTTCAACTTAGAAACTTAGTTGCGGCAGCTTGCGTAATTGATCTCCCTGCTTCTAAAACTCAATAGCGCGAAGCTAGATCGCATTTGTTGTATGAGATCGTCGCCGTGCGGGTGGCAGCGTTCTTGATCTCCGGAGCGCGGTGAGTGGGTGACTGAAGAGCTTGCAGTGCCTTCTCACAAAGAAGGAGAAGGAGAGGACAAGTGTGATAAAACCAAACAACCCTCAAGCCAAGGAAGATCTGGGGTAGTGAAAACTTCTTTGGTCTTGTTCGCGTTTTTCGTTTTTCGGCATGAGCCACGACAACGAAAAATCAAACAAGTTTCACTACACCAGATTTCCTCAGCTCGGTTGTTACTTTTTTGGTTTTCGGCGTCTGCTTGACCAGGGCCGGCGCGCGGGAAAATGCACGCAGACACAGTATGGAAATTAGATTGCGCGCGACTCCCTCGCTTTTTAGAATTCCCTTCATTGATATGCTTTTTGAGCGCATTTGCCGCCTGTCGATGCCCTTTTAACCCCCTATGTTGACCGCACCACTTCCCCTCGAAGGTTGGGTTTCAATAAACCTGGTCAAACCCGAGACCTCAGCGTCGTGGTGTGGCGAGGTGTGCGGCGAGGTGTGCGTCCAGATTGAACTTTTTATCCGACCTCAAAATCGTGGAAACGTGTGTGGCGAGGTGTGGGGCGAGGTGTGCGTCCAGGTTGAACACGTTGGTACCAATGACGAGGTGTGCGTTTCACCTTGTAAGTTCACATCTCTCGGAAACATCTCGAAAACCACTCGGAACCTCTCGGAAACATCTCGGAAACCTCTCGAACACCTCTCGGAAACAAAAGTCAACGCCAAGGTTTAAGAAGAGAATAGAAGAGATATGAAGAGATTCAATGTGTTTCACATATTTTGGAGCAAAGTCCGAGAGCCGAGAGGTGTCCGAGTGGTGTCCGAGTCGTGTCCGAGGGTTTCCGAGAGGTGTCCGACAGGTTGCGAATGAATAGCGTTGTCAATTCGAAAACTTGCGGCGGGTACTGCGGCAAACCTGACTTAAACGCTCAAATTTCATGAATGAAACCAGAGTTGACGCAGACCCGGCCGCATACCCGACACGCACACCTCCCGCATACCTCGCCGCATACCCGACCACTGTCTCCGCGCACCACTTTTGCAGTTTTGTGATGCGTACCTTCGACGGGAATAGTTTATCTCAACCCCTATGTATTCCTATTGATTTCCTGTGGAATTGTTGTTGAATTCCTTGTGAGTCTTTTGGATCACTTTTAAAATGTTTTTCGGTTTCGCATGATTTCCTTTTAAACTCAACTTGGTTCCACTTGGATTTTCTGTCAAACTCTTGTTGACTTTTCTGATTTCTGTGTAAACACTTTTGATTCCCTTTGATTTCCGCTGAGCTTCTTGAACTAATTTCTTTTGACGCCTTTGTTAACTTTTCCCTTTTTTGGCAAGAATCCATGCCGCAAAGTGGATGGTCAAGCACATTAAAAACAGTTGGAAAAATAAACGCCTATGATAATCCATGCGCTCCTTGGCTTTAGCATATATTCGCACCCCTTGGGTTACTGCCAGCGCTTTTCAAAAAAACAGCACTGATTGAATGCTACCCTTCAACCTTTGTCTGCGCTTTGCGTCGGTAGATTTTTGACATAGCAGCCCCTAAGTACTATCTACGCTTTCCATGCTTCATTGTTTTCCTTTTTGAGTTCCCTTTATTAACATGCTAGTTGTTGATTTCCTATAAAAGCTTTTTGATTCCTTGCGCACCCCTTGCAAGTTCCCTTTGATTTGTAGAGGTTTGCTTTGATTTTCCTTCTGGCTTCCATTGATTTTCTTTTGAGTTCTTTTTGATTCCGTACGATTCACACGTTAAAATTCTCTTTGGGTCTTTGTGGTATCCTTTTAAGCCCTTGTTGATCCCTTGCGGTTTCATTTTCTAAACGTCCGTTTTGGTCCGTTGATTTCGCTCTTAGTCCTTTGAACTAGTTTCTCCTATTTCTACCGCGTTTCAAAATCTATTCCGCAGAGGGGGTAGCCGCGTACATGGGACATCTTGAACAAAATAGTTCCCGACAATAACGCGTGCCTTTCTTCTTTAATGATGGGACGCCCTGGGTTGTCTATACGGTCTTCAAATGCTGTCTGCCCTTTTGCTCTGGTCAGGCTTTTCGTTTTGCATTTGTATTTGAATTCGGTTTTTTTCAACCTCCTAATTGTTGATGTCCAACGGCAGGCAGAGTTCAATAGCAAAAGGAAATCTCTTGTTCCACGACAGCTGCTGTATAAACAGAGAATGGGATTCAGACGGGGCTTCGCAGCTGCCCTTTCTTCCCACTTGTGTTTCTTGTGTCATTGGACCTTGCGCTTCGCAAACTGCTCTCTTTCATGTTTGGAAGACCCACACGTCGAAACTAAAATACTTGCCGCCCGCAATTTGTGCATGGGTTCATCAGATTCCGTGAGCCAAGTGTGAGGCTACATATTTGCACACTTTGGGTCACGAGTCTCATGTACTTTGTTCTGCCATGAAAGCTGCAAATATGCGGGCTGATCTGAAGACCACCTCATAGCGCGTGAGGTATGGGGGGTGAAGAGTAAAGTCCATGACGTAAAGTTAGTTGAAAAGCAGGAAGAGGTAGAAGAGCTGAGAAGCAGGAAAAGGTAGATCATGGGGTGGGGGAGGGAATTAGAATATATTTATATATATGTATGTGTATATATAGCGTGCGACTAGATGTCTGTTACACATTGCTGAGGCTTGGCCGTGCTATCCAGAACAGAACAGTGCCTGCGAGACACCATTTTGATGCTTTAGTAACGCGAGATGCTGCTCGTGAAGGACGCTGCGGATAAAGGTTGGAAGGTTCGTTTCAATCAATCATAGAGGGGTGTGTGTATATCCATAACTCTATCTATCTATCTATCTATCTGTCTATCTACCTATCTTTCTATATATATTTTTGTATATTCGTCCAAGTGTTTTGATGTTCTTTGTGAACCATGTTGGGAGGAGCGCTCTCGCCGCTGGGTTTTGCCCAACGTGCATTTTTCTGTGACAAGAGCAGCAAGTTGTCAGAGGCAAAGCAGCTGATTGAGTCAATTGCTTATGTAAAGCAACAAGGTCTGTGGTGCGCAGCAATAAGTCACCGAATGTATTCTGTCGTTGAATCCTCGCCCCAAGCCAATTAAATTGACTTTCAGCGCGTGGCCCGTTCATTGATTCTGCACTTCAGGGCACGAAAATTGAGTAGGACGCATGAGGTATGCGCCAGCACCTATTGGGGCGCCGAACGCGCGCCCGAGAACTCAGTAGCAAGCGCAGCTTCTCAGAAAATAGCAAGTTGCGCAGATGTCGGGGCATTGCGATACAGGGATTCGTGGTGCTGGCGCAGCGGTATAGAGGCCATCGACTCGGCTGAGCTGCGCGGGCAGCGGCGTGACCAACCTCGGCGCCCAGATCAATGAGCGCCCACGGATGCTGTTCCAACTCACGGCGCCGGGTTTCAGACGAGAGAGAAGCTTTGCCTGACGGAAGGCAAGAACTGAAGTGGGAGAGGACAGCAGTCAGGATGCAGGTTAACGTCGAGACCAAAGAGGAGACGAGACAACCCAAAAGAGAAAGGACGCGTGAAGAAAGGAAATACTCTGCGAGTTCAAAGCTCCGCAAGAAGAAGGAAAGGAGTCGAGGACGCCAAGGAAGCGCCAAACATCAGCAGCGTTGAATGCGCCGTCATCCCCGCATTTGCGTTCGCGCGCAAGCAGGGAGTACTTGAGGCTAGGAGAAGACAGAGAGTTGCCCCCTTTCAGGACATCAATGGGCAGCTTCAGATACAATGGTGTCAGGCATGGTCGCCCCGACAAATGAGATTTCGCATTGGCGCGGTGAGTCACGCGAACTATGATAGGCTTCGTCGCCACCAAGGACTCGAAATTGAAACCGAAGGTCGAGCCCACGCAGGCCCAATGATCCGGATCTCGCCAAGCAGTTGCCCGCAACATTTAATCACACACTATTTTCATTGCACCTCTGCGCCGCAAGTCCCTGTTGGTTGGAGCTGTCCGGTTCTGAGGTTCCATGCCCAGGAGAAGTGCGAGGCCACCTGTTTTCGTCAGCAGCTGGCAGGAGAGAGGAAAAGAGCCCGGGGGAGAGGCGCTGAGCAAGGCAAGACCTTTGGACACGTTCCACGTGGAGGACGCAACCTTTCCCGGTCATTTAGGAGAAGGAATGCCACGTCGAAGGGTGATCGACGTTGCTGAACCGATTGTCAGGAGGGCAGGAGGACGATTAGCTTACACTTCAAGAATTAACGAAGAGCTAGTAATTAGGAGATTGCTTAATTTGTTAAACGAAGATCTCCGGGTGAACGTCTCAAGATCCAGTAGGAGGATGAGGAGAAGGAGAAGGAGAAGGAGAAGGAGCAGGCGAAGGAGAAGGAGAAGAAGAAGAAGAAGAGGAAGAGGAAGAGGAAGAGGAAGAAGAAGAAGAACAACAACAAAAAGAAGAAGAAGAAGAAAAACAGAAGAAGAAGACGAAGACGAAGACGAAGAAAAAATAAAAGAATAACATAGAATAACAAAAGAAGAAGAAGAAGGAGAAGAAGAAGCAGAAGCAGAATAAGGAGGAGAAGGAGGAGGAGGAGGAGAGGGAGAAGAACAAGGACACAAGGAGAAGGAGAAGGAGAAGGAGGGAAGAAAAAACAAGAAGAGGAAGCGGGCGAGCGGCGACGGTGGCTCATCATTTTCTACATTGTCATGATGAACTGGTCGATCAAAGATGGTTGCAAACGGCGGAGCAACCTATCTCCCCCAGCAGACAGGCTCAATGGAGTTGGCGTTGATGAAGGTGATCATCTACAAAGGTTTTGCGTGTCTATATAGCACATTGCTCCCTAACGGCAGCGCAAGGTTTTCAAAGTTCAAAGTGCCAAGTGTACGTTGGAACAGACTTTCCCACTTTACTAGTAGCAGCTTTTGAGCACCCTCCCAGATATTGGACGTGTGGTGCAGGTCATTGCTTCACCGTTGGGCTTTGGGGCGGTCTACCAGGACATGGCCCTTCTCGTGGTCTTGAGCCGAGTGTGTTTTCAATCTTGCGGAGTCAACCTTGGACGAATTCAGTGGATCGCCTTGTGAGGCGTTGGAGCTCAGGCATGCTGAGCGCTTGTGCCAAGAACTCGTTGCAAAACATTGGTGCGCGCAAATCAAACTTCCAATGACCAAAACTCCGACGCGCAGAGGCAGAATCATTGAAACGAAACAACTTCTGTTCTTCCATCGCATACACGACACCTGTGCTGGCAGATGCGGTCAAGCGTATCAGAGGTCTAGAAGTTGGAACGTGACGGCGTGTCCGCAATGTTCCCATGTCCATGATGAGTTGCTGTGCGCAGTATTTGCTAGTCGTGTTGTTTCTTTTGTTTGGGTATATTTGTTGTCTGGTCACACCTTGCGCTGTAGAGTCCCTGATCTTCACAGAGGCACCTTTGTACAGACCTTTCCGCTGTGCCAGAACAGGATTGTTTCTTGAAACAAAACATATCTGTCGGTATGTCCCGTATTTTTCATATCTGGTTGTCACTTCTGACGCTTCCTGACACTTGTGTACCATAACTCCATTGAGATTTGTGTTTGTCGTGTGCAAAACTTGTCATTGGGTGTGTGCTGTGGCCTTTCTTTCCCCGCCGTGTCCAGGCCTTGTCGCCGTTTTCCCTTCCTCCACTGCATGGTCCGGTCTTTTTGCTTGGTGGCTATGAATGCAACGGTGATGCAGCGTTTCAAACTTGATACTCGTACAGCTGTTTTGCACCAGATAGCGAAGCTATGCGGTTCTTACTTCAAATAACAATGAGTTGCCTGTGCGCGCTTTCGAGACATGTCGCTTTGGGTGGCGGTGCTGGTGCTGGTGCTGTGAGCTGGCTGTGCACGTGGTGGAGACAGGTTGCCATCGCCCGTGCTGGTGCTGGGTGCCGGGCGCCGGTGCTGGTGCTGGTGCTGTGAGCTGGCTGCAGGTTGCTGGTGCCGGTGCTGGTGCTGGGTGCCGGGCGCCGGTGCTGTGAGCTGGCTAGACAGGTTGCTGGTGCTGGGTGCTGGTGCTGTGAGCTGGCTGTGCACGTGGTGGAGACAGGTTGCTGGTGCTGGTGCTGGTGCTGGGTGGCGGGTGGCGGGCGGCGGCGGCGGGTGTCGCTGCAAGTGGCTGTGCACGTGGTGGAGACAGGTTGCTGTCGCTGGTGGCGGGTGCCAGTTCTGGTGCTGGGCGCCGGCTGTGCGCGTGGTGGAGACAGGTTGCTGGTGGTGCCGTGGTGCTGTGAGCTGCCTGTGCAAGTGTTTGCCACTGATGGTGCCGGGTGCCAGCGCTGGGTGCCGGGTGCCGGTGCTGATGCTGGTGCATGCTGCCAGCCGGCTGTGCGCGCGGTGGAGACAGGTTGCTGGCTGGTGCCGGCGGCTGGTGCTGGCGCTGGGTGCCGGTGCCGGTGCTGGTGGTGGTGCTGTGAGCTGGCTGTGCGCGCGGTGGAGACAGGGTGCCGGTGCTGGTGCTCTGGGCGGTCTATAGTGGTCGGTGCCAGTGCTGGGTGTTGGCAGCGCACGTGGTGGAGACAGCGGGCGCCGGTGCCGGTGCTGTGAGCTGTACGCGTGGTGGAGACTGGGCGCCGGTGCTGGGTGCTGGCTGCGCGCGTAGTGGACAGGGTGCCGGCTGCTGCTGCTGGTGTGGGCGCCCGCTTCTGACAGTGAAGTGATAACAACCTCCGCTTCTAACGGTGAAGGGTAACAAACCGCCGCTTGCAGCAGTGAAGGGCGACCAAGCGCCGCTGCTGACACAGTCATGGGCCGCGTGAACTTGCGCGCGCAACATCATACGGTGTTATTGCTTGAACGTTCTTTGTCTATTAGCGCTGTGGGGTATTTACACTCTTCAGGTTCTGCTTTGGCCGACAGCTGTGTCAAGGGCTGTACCGTTTGCGCGCATACTTTTGCGCGTATAATGTTCTATGCGCAACGTCAGGCTCTCAACCGACAATTTGTTTCAGCGTGTTTCAGCATGCTACACACACAATAGTCGTGCTGGATACTGCTTGGCCTTGGGCAAGTGAAGCCTGCGGGCTTTGCCGTTTGTGCGCATATTTTTGTGCGCGTAAACTGATACGCGCAAGATCATACGGCCTTATCGTTCTGCAGATCGTTGCTTCAAGCGTGCTACAAAGTCAATAGTGGCGCTGGATACTGCTTGGCCTTGGGCCAATGACACTTACGGGCTTTGCTGTTTGCGCGCGTACTTTTGTGCGCGTAAACTTATACGCGCAAGATCATACGGCCTTATCGTTCTGCAGATAGTTGCTTCAAGCGTGCTACAAAGTCAATAGTGGCGCTGGATACTGCTTGGCCTTGGGCCAATGACACTTACGGGCTTTGCTGTTTGCGTGCATACTTTTGTGCGCATAGACTTATACTCGCAAGATCATACGCTGTTATTCCCACTTATTCCCCAAATAGGGATAGCTATGGGGTTCTCGCTGCAAATAAGAATGAGCTGGCTGCGCGCGCTTTCGAAAGGGTGTCGGTGCTGTGGTGCGCGCGTTTAAGACTGGCGGCGGCGCTGGTCGGGCGCTGGCGCCGCTGCCGGTGTTGTCAGCTGGCAAAGTGCACGGTGCTGGTGTGGAGGTGCCGTAAGCTGGCTGCGCAAGCTGCGTACATTCTTGTTCCAGCCAGTCGCATGTCAACAGGTCGTGGGATTCTGCCTAGCTATCTGGGTCTATGCTGGTGTTATTTTGTTTACACGCTGTTCTCGAACAGCTAGAGGCTATAGCCGAATTCAAGGAACTGACGCAAACAAAATTTTGCTGAAGTTGGTTGGGGGGTCTATGCTGGCATACTTGAGATTTGAACATCTCTTGGAGTGGGCTTCGCGCGCCGCAGCTGCTTTTGCTGCTTCTCTGCTGGCTGCTCCTCCTTCCGCTGCTCGGCTGCTGTTCATGCTCTCAAGGCTGCCCTGGTGCAGCTGCGGATCCTCTGTTCCTATTCTGCTTCTGCTGCTGGCTAGCACTACCCGCTTGCCCTGTGCTGCTGGTTCTCCTACTGCAAGTTGATGTGCTTTGAAAGTAAAAACTGCTAGAAAAATGTGTATGTGTATATAAATATCTATACACATACATACAGTTGTTCTTGGACCATGAACATTCGTCTCCACTGTTTGGGCAAACTGGCTGTTTGAACATGCCTCTTGGAACGAGACAGTATCCAGGTGTTTATTGTGGAGAGTCAGTCTTTTTCGTTTGTCAGGAATAGGACAACAAGATACTCGTGCAATAGACAACTATATTGCATATTTGTCGTGTTTTGCTATTCAGCTACATGAACGACGGCATGCATACACAAAAATGCGTCTAAAACGCTGTTGTGGAGATTGAGCGGATGTTGTGCACGTGTTTCTTTCCTGGTGTTGTTTGCCAGTTTCCCCCCACTTTCGTTTAGACAAAGAAGTTTTCAACTTTTGTGATTCCGCGTTGCCATTTTTGACCCGCACTGTGTGCATTGCAGATTGCAGTGATCAACCCCAATGCTGCAAATGGTCGTTGCAATGCAGCGTCTTCATTTCACTCCTTCGCGTGTTAATTGTGCAGTCTAGAGTCTAGAGTGTGCATATATACTTGCGCAACACAATGTGTGCAATCTACCTCTTGCATCCTTTTGCCACGCAATGTGTACGCTGACACTATTGCATATTCAATGCAATAGTATGTGCTGTGCAAGTGCTTTGAGTTTTGCAGTTCAATGTGTTAAAAAAAACCTGGCAACGAGGTACGGGATGTGCACTAGATTTCCCAAGCAGTCGTTTTCGAGTGAAGTATCTGCACTTTGCCTCCAATGTCAAAATGCATGCTGCAGCTTTGGCACCAACGTCACCAACCGATTTACTCCAAACCCCCTCCAATACGACATAACAGGAATAGTCAGTCGTTGTGAAGCTATGCCCGCCGCGCTCTACTGGAGCCGCAATGCAGTATTGTAACTTCATTCTTCCGCATGGTGCTACTGGCAAGAGTGAGCAACAGGATATCTACGGGTTTCATTTTTTGCGTGCTTGTATTTGTATTGCGTGCTTTGTGGGGGTTGCAATGCTGTACTATGTACGCTGGTCTGCCATGAACAGCACGCTGGCTCACTGCTCATTCGCTTGTTGCGTGTAACGGTGTAGCGCATCATGTGCACTGTGCTCTCTCTCTCTCTGTCTCTCTCTCTCTCTCTCTGCAATGTGGTATGTGCACTGTAACTGAAGCACTTTTGGTCCAAACAATCCGTTGTGTATACAATACGCTAAGCAACGTAGAGTTCTTTTTAGTTTCCGCACTGTAGGGTGCTTTGCAATACAGTGTGCCTTGGAAACTCTTCAACCTGCGCTTGGAAAAAGCAGCTTGCTTTGTTTGAAGGGTTTGTGGCATGCAGTCTTCAATGAAAGCCAGCTCTTTGCAAACATGCAACACAACAGGAATTTCACCAGCAAGACCTCTATGGCTTTGCTCGAAAGTTTTTCTTTTTTCCCTTCTTTGAGTTTTGCAGGAATGGGAGAAATTGACGGGAGGAAGAGGGCTCTAAGGCTTCTGTTTTTGCGCTGGCCCTCCCCTTCATAAGACCTCCAAGGAAAAGTACCCTTGCGTGGCTTCAAAAGGAAAGAATTTACACAAGCACTGCGAACATGCATCAAACATCGCAAACACAAGCGCAAGCAAGATTGATATTCCAAAACTTATACTTTCAGAGACCCTGCAAGTACATTTAAACACACAACACATCCATAGAACATCATGGAACAAACATGCAAACTCAGCCCAAGGCTGGCCCGAAGCAGCCACTATGACAGGCAAGTTTCCGAACATTTGGTGAAGTGCTGTTAAACCATATATTGTGTCGGATATTGAAGTTGCCTTGAAATTCGGAGCATTCGACTCAGGGCGGACCATTGTGACCGAGATTGCTCTTGGTCGCTGCCATACAGCGTTTGATGCCCAGCACATTGTCACCAGTGTCCGTGTCAACCATGCTCTTGCAAACTGAGGCGATCCTCGCTCCAAGGCCGTCCGGAAACGGGAGTAAGATTTGGTAAGTTTTTGCCCAAAGAGGAGTGCTGTTTGAGTGTGGACTCAAAAGATTGATTGATGGTATGTTACAAGCAGTTCCCGGGCAAGCCGGCGGCGGAAGTTTCCTATAAGAACACATTGACCTATAGGAGTGTCCACGTTCTCTCCACCATGCGTGTCCCTCGTGTCACTCACTGAGCCAAACGCACGCGCTCCGGACTGTTGACACACACACACACACAGCGCCACCTGTGCAAGGTCTGTGCTCCCTGCAGGATCAGCAGCTCACAACAGCGCACTGGGTTGTGTCTATGCCAAAGCAAGATCACCAGCCCACACCGGCGTGCTGAAGCAACTGGGCATCTGCAAGCGAAAGTTAAGTGCAGCTGGTGCGGGCACGCGAAGTGGGTGGTGTTTTCAAAGTCAAAATCATGTCTTCATTGTCCAGCTTGCCAAATACTCCGCGTACTTTACAGTTGTACTACAAAGTCGCCAGTTCTCATTTTCCAGCTCCCCAGATACTCAGCAGCGAGAGATGACTCAGCAGCGAGAGATGACTCAGGAGCAAGAGATGACTCACCAGCGAGAGATGACTCAGCAGCGAGAGATGACTCATCCGCGTACGAAAGTTGTACTACAAAGTCGCCAGTTCTCAGCTTCTAGCTGCACAGATAGCTCCGCGTACTCAAGTTGTAGTACATACAAAGTCACCAGTTGCTCTCTGGCTTGCTAGCTAGCGCCTTCAAACCATGGTCAGCTACATGTACGGATCCCAAAACAAAAGCAAGTCACACCCAGTCAACCCAGTCCAACCGCTGGTTCTTTCCAAACAGTGTCCCTAGTCATGGTCAGCTATACGTACAGAATCCAAAACAAAACAGTCTGCTTGTGATTCGTCTGATTCTGCGTGTTTGCTGTGTCTCTGAACTCACGCTCTGCATTCAGTGTACAGTACATGGACACGGCTGCGGAAAGCTTGCCTTTCGTCTCATGCCTTCATTTCATGCCTACAGCGCAACACGCATCTACAGCGCAGCGTCCCAGCCCGCAACTTGCGTACTCCACGCCTGCAACCTTCGTCGTCGTCGAAATCAGCGGTGATCTCTTCAGAGACGACTCAGCAGTGAGAGATGACTCAGCAGCAAGAGATGACTCCCCAGCGAGAGATACGTCAGCAGTGAGAGACGACTCAGCCGCAAGAGATGACTCTGCAGCGAGAGATGGCTCAGCAGCGAGACATGACTCTGCAGTGAGACATGACTCAGCAGTGTGACAGGACTCAGGAGCGAGAGATGACTCAGCAGCGAGAGATGCCTCATCCGCATACTAAAGTTGTACTACATAGTCGCCAGTTCTCAGCTTCCAGCTCCACAGATGCTCCGCGTACTACGTTTGTACTACCATGTCGTCACTTCTCAGCTTCCAGCTCGCCACATACTCCGCGTACTACAGTTGTACTACAAAGTCGCCAGTTCTCAGCTTCCAGCTCCCCGGATGCTGTGCCTGCCACGAAATCTGCACATGGAGGTTCACAAAGTGCTG